CTGGCGAGCCGCCTGCGAAGGCCGGGGGCGGCTGGGGCGCCCCCCCCCGGCCTTCAAAAAAAAAAAAAAAACCCTTTTAAACCGACCACCCGGAAAGGTCAGCGACGTCACTGCTCAAGTAACTTCCGTTTAATGGGTTAGCGAGTCCCAGCGCCTCAAACTATCAACTGCTAAGGTCATTTGCCCCGTAAGTGTACTGCATTTCGTTTATCGCGGTGGTATTCCCTAGCGGTGGCGGTGATGTTCCCTAGCTGTATGACGAGATTCGGCGTCAATCTAAACGCCGGCCTGCTGTCTCTCCCTCCAATCAGGCGTCTCCCGGGCTCCGGGCAGCGAGAATGTTTTTAACAAACAGCTAAAGCATATATTGATTTTTTGTAACCAATGAAAATGCTCGTTATATCCCAGGTAGGTACACTATTCTAGAACGTTACCTGAGAAGTTAGATATAATAAACGTGATTCGTTAGTTATGATAGAACGTGATTGGTTAGTCATGACAGAATGCTATCTGATTGGTGTATACAATCAATACTCAACTAGATGTATGCGCCTCTGGGCACAGTTGGGAAAAGCTATAAGCTCCAGACTTGTCTCCCGACATGTGTGGCAGTAGTGTAGTACATGTAAGTGTAAGTTTAAGGGTCAAGAAAGAGGAAGGAAAGATCCTACGCGGTCCGTGGCCCGTTTGGCAGGGTACTGCTCCAGCATTCGCCTGTTGTTGATCGAAGAAACCACGGAAAACTACTGATCAGAGCAGCCGGTCGTAGAATTCGCCTCCAAACAGAGGATGAATTCGATATAGGCCGTCCGGACTAGATTCCTAGGACCTGTCGTTCAGAGGCCCTGCAGTGACATCAATTGATGTTCCGAGCTATGAAATCCGGGCAGTTCAGAAGTAATTTTACTAGTGGTTTGAAACTTATCTGAGAAGTTTCAAACCGCGAGTAGAGTTCGGTGAGACTATTTCTCGGATAAAAGTCATAAGTGAATTATATACTATGAAAATAATGATACAATTATTTTTTGGTGGGATCTTTCAGATGCTGTAGTGAGCTTTGTAGCAGTTTTCACCATGAAATATGTATTTATTTTCCAAAACAGTTTAACGTCATCTGTTATGTTAAGACGAAAGAGAAAAGTACAATGTGAACTTTTCGATTTTAGGCGCCCATTTGTGATATATAACCATCTTATTATAAAACACTATTGGCCTATTGGAACTAACAACTCATGAATGGAATTGATTACATTTTCCAACGCCTTATTTCGATCAAGTCATCTGGCGATATTTAAAAAAAAATACAAAAGCGTAGTGTATTTTATCGAAAACAGTATACAAAATATCGACTGTACATAAACGATCGCAAATCATCGCGTTAATGTAAATGTTTTCTAAATTTTTCGTCTGATAAAATTTTGTGAGAAGGGTGTAAATTTTAAAGGGAAAATATTAATTTCTATACATTTGCGCGGTCGTGAATTTGGCACGTGAGATGGCAAGCAATCAGTTACCTTGGTAATGAAATAATTATAAACGTTGTCATTGCCAACAATAGTAAAATACTATTGTTGGCAATGACAACGTTTATAATTATTTCATGAAAAATGCCAACGATAACGCACTACAACACCTATACCCTGGTAATAATTTCGGATAAACAATGTGTTTATTAACTTCACACCAAGAACCTGGATATTTGTATTACACGCGCAAGTTTTCATGAGCCTCGGAATATCTACTCCAACTCCTTTAATAACGTTAGTTGAATCAAGAATAAGTGATGAGCAACAAATTTAATACTATAGTCCTGTCGGTAAAATAATATTAAAAAAACCACTCCTCTCGCATAAAGCGAAATGAGGGTCCATGAAAACGAACACGGATAATAACGAAATATACAAAAATTGCGGCTATAGAATTCAAGAGATTCAGTGTACTAAATATAGTGGAGAATTAAAAACATGAATTAAAAATTCATGTTTTTTCGTTATACGTATACCGGTCAGGACCCGAAAGATTTGGTTTCCTTGATTATTACAAATGTTTTATTTATTTGCTGAGGAATATGCGCCGGTTTACTTGTCCATATCATCTCCCAGGGTTAGATTAGTTATTTTGATTTATTTATGAAACAATTTAATATTTGTAATTGCATTAACTACTATTATTGAATAGTTTAATGACTTTGTTTGCATTTTGTGTTGTGTAGCTTTCTTAGGCAATACGCATTTGTCGATACGTGAAATATATATAGTTGAAAATCCTCGCCATTTATCCCGAACAATTACTTTTAGTTCAGCGTATAAGCATACTCAGCATACTTCAGCGTTTACATTTCTTAAAGAGAAAATGCTAATGGGATAAGTGGTTGAGAAATATATACTATGAATATTGTGACAGTTTCACAGTGAGCAATAACACTATAGTTTGCGTTCATCATTTTAAATCGTTTCATAGTTGAACATTTTCCCTGCTTTAAATGGAACGATAGATACGTATTCCTCATTCATTCACACAACTTCAGAACGATGAGTGTCATTATTGTTTTCACTCCAGCTGAGTTATCAACCAGCCAAAAATGTAAGAAAGAATTCTAAAACTCTTTACAGCATATTTTCCAATGAGGTGAAGCTGGATTAAGTCGGATGAAGTAGATATCATAAAGTCTTTTGAATATGTTGTGTCAAACAATAAACATAACATTATATTCATGCCCCTGTGTATTTGTTAATTATGAAACAAGAGTGTCTTCCATTAAAACAAAAGATATTGAATACAGTTACTTTAACATATATTAGTTTTAAAATTAATTCGGTGAACCACACGCCCACGATCCTTCTCGATTTGCTAGATATTCCTATTAGATAAACGAGGGCAGATATTCTCCACTTGATCGACGTGCTCGGAGATATTTCACTTAATAGATTTGCGTCGAAATTATGCATTTGATAGACTTGCGTACAAAACAAGCACTTGAAAGACTTGCGCTTAGATAATGTACTTGCTATACTTAAGCGTATATCATGCACTTGAAATTATACAAAAGACGAAATCCTCCACTTGATTGACTTGCGCGAAGGTCTTTCACTTGTTCGCCTTAGTTCAGATGGTCTACTACAACGACTTGCATCGTATCTTCCACTTGATCGACCCGATTGAGATCCTCCATTTGATCGACTTCCCTCCGGGTGAGTTGTTACCGCAGGGGGCCTTGTTGGTTACTTAGGCAGAAGGAAATGGACCAGGAACACCGAAAAAAGGAAGTTCCGACCACATAAAAGTGGAAGTCACTAGCTGAAGAAAGTCTACGCCAGTTTAGCACCAACAGTTTCTTGTTTGAAAAGGATGACTTTCCAGTATTGTTTGATTCTGTTCTTTCCGATTTTTCAGTAGACGTCGAAACGAATGCGTCTTGATATCCTCCTTGTACCAGGAGTGAGTTGTTAATTAACGAAGTTGTCAGTATTTCTGAACACCTAGTTATTCTTTTCCTTTATGGAGCTTCCCTAACTGTCGAATTTGCCAGAATTTCTGGAAAAATCTTTTATTTTTTCACTATCTTGATTACTCTTAAGTGTAGAGTTTCATCCACAAACTTCTCAAAGTAACTGAAAGGGGTGAACATCCTCGTCTCAGAACACGCTGGATTACATGCATGAATTTATGTTTGGAAGAAGCTGTTTGCTTTATCAATATTTGCGACTTTTTCATAGGTTATACAAACAAATGTAACTCTGAAATTACCAATCCTGAATGATTATATGTTCATTTGTCAGCTCGAGAGGCATACATTGCTTTTAGATGTCCGAAGAATCCTCATTCCATTGTCAGTCGGTGAACGTGGGTGAACGCAGCGTAAGAATATAACCTAAACTGGTAACGACTGACGAGTCGAGACAACCATAAGAAACACTTTAAGGGAGAAGTCTGTCTTCCTTATGGGAAAAGTGCGAGCTTAAGAATCCAATCAAGGGTTGTTTATGAACACGATTCGTTCACTTAAGGGAACACTCATTTTAAATCTCGACTACCAATTCGGCTCTAAATGTTTTTGCTCCGGCCCGACCTGCTCCCGTCTCAAGCCCCATTCACAATGCAAACTTTACATGTAAAAACGAGCATTCACAAAGACAAACGTAAGCTGGAACGTAAGTTTCGCCTGAGTTAATCAGATTTCAATGCATTTAAACTTCATTGCTTGTCGATTCGTTTCTAGCATGGTGAAAATATATTTTCTTTTTCTCCGATTTTCCTCTAGATTTACATTTATATACTTGTAAAAAATCCGAGTAACTGTTGTATTAGTGCTCGCATTTCTTTTACTTTATGAACAAGGATTCTCTATAACCAAATTCATGAGTGATTTGTCGAACGTAATTATTTTATTCGCCACGTCAAGTTAAAGTCACAAGAAAAATGGCCCAAATTGTTACTTTGAATTCATTACTCGCGTCAAAACCGTTCGCAAACTAGTTCAGTACATAAGAGTAATGACAACCACGAACTACCTGAACGCAATACATGCATATGTATTTCATGCTGCTCTCTGATTGGTCTTCAGTAGAATTACGATGTTAACTTAACGTAAAAGCTAGGCACTTATGAACCGTTATGATACAGCTTTACGTCTACGGTTACGTCATGGTATTGCGAATTCTCTTGCTTAATAACTCATTTTTAGGTTTTGCAGCAAATTTTCTTTTGTTATTTAAGGTCGCATCAACTACTGGTCATTAGCGACCACTATTGCTTGTAACGGTATGGTAACTGTGGGTAGACACGATAATGATGATGATAGGGGGGTGAAAGGACGAAACACAGTACAACCATGCCCGAGGCGGGACTCGAGAAGGAACCGCGATCCTTCGGTTCGAGTTCGCTACGGCACTACTGCCTTAGCGATCTCGGCCACCGGATCGGATGCAAATTTATGTTTACGTTTAAGTTCGCATTGTGAACGAAGCCTCGCGCGGTCAGCCCGCCCCCAAAGGCCCTGTGCCCGCAGGCGCTTCGCAGTGCTGGCGAACGGGTCGCTGCAGCTGGGCGCGGGCAAAGTCGTGGAGGCGGACGGCTTCTGCCTGGACCTGTCGCGCCTGCACGACGGCTCGCGCGTGGCCAACGCGCTGTACTGCGTGGACGGCGGCGGCGAGGGCGTCGAAGGCGAGGGCGGCGACGTCTTCTACACCGCGCTGCTGGCGGTGGGCGAGCTCTTCCTGCTGCTGACGCTGTGCGCGTACGCCTTCGTGCCCGAGGTGGGCCGCAAGCCGCACGCGCGCGCGCTCATGTGCCACTGCGGCGCCATGCTGGCCGCCTTCGCCACGCTCGTCCCGCTGCAGCTCGGCGCGCTGCCACTCGGCGGCGGCGCCTGCTACGCGGCAGGTGGGTCCCGCGCCTCGCGACCGCCGGGAATACGTCCCCTGGGTAATTATTTCCTTCTTCTTCTTCTTACTTTTATTTTAGGCTAGAGTCTAAAAGGCTCGCCTATAGGCTAGAGTCTGTTTCTTTACGAAGAATACTTAATTGAATTTTTTTAAAAACCTGATACATTACATTTATTTAGTCATATTTATTAATTGGCATTATATTCATGCTGTCTTGTTTCACAAAATGTCTTTCCACCTAGTTCTTGGACGTCCTACTCTTCTCCTTCCTTCTGGTCTTCTATCTCTAGTCACTTTCACCAGTCTGTCTTCTTCCCTTCTGTCCTTCCTGAGTTATTTCCTTCCTGGGTATTCAATTCCTGGGTAAGACCTCTCGAAAACATATTTTTTAACATTAAATTTACCGGGAAAGGTTCCCCAGGTGCTTAATTCATCGCACTGCAGTGCTCCTGACCGAGAGGTCCTAGGTCCAGGTTGAAGTCCTGACTGGCTGGATTTGCTTATCAGCTAGGGCGAATTCAGCGCTCTCTGGGGGAGAGTTCTGGCGTACGGCTGTTTTGATCGGAAGTTTTCCGTGCTTTCTCCGATCAACACCAGGCGAATGCCGGAGCAATACCCTAACAAACCGCCCGCGGCCGCGCGCCAGACACAAAAATTATATTTGCCAAAAACGATATTACAATTTAACTTTACAATATACTTTAAAGAATATTAAGACACTATTTGGGAGGGATTAATTTATAGTATAAAACATTGCGGTTAAATTTTAAAAATGTATTGGACACTTTACTATTGTTTATTATTTTTTCCCTCAAGTTTTTCATAATACAAAATGGCATCGTATTTTAATTCAAATAACTTCCTCTAATGGTTGTATCTAGATCGTACTTTAAAGAGGTGATCAGGGTGAATTTTGGTCTTGCAAAGTACATGTCGGGGGAGATGGATTTTGCAAAAACTGTTGCAGTGAAGGGTTATATAAACTATAAGAACTATAGTTTTCCGAAACGGAAAGTCGAAAACCTCATCTGATGGGTAACTTTTAACTAAACTCCTATAAAATATTAATTATGAAAATCTAAATGAAACTAAGGAAGTTAAGAAACAAGCGATTACAATGAGTTAAAAATAGAAAATAAGTTTTCTTTCGCAAACAAGGTACAGCAGCTACATAAAATGATTTTTACATATTGTGGCTATAAATCAATACAAAAGCAAGTAACCTGCGCCAGAAAACTCTCTTGCACAAGAGCTGGGAATCAGCAATTGCTATTACAAATTGGATGTATGGCGCTAGCAACGAAATCACTTAGCAAACGAGTAAATGGAGTCATCACTTCCAGTATTTCTTATGATTGTTGATGCAGTACGCAATGTAAATTTAACCGACAATTTACGTTAATCATGTGGGTGCATTACGTTTAAATTTAGTAGAGAATAAGATTCTTCGTCATAGTATCCCTACATCTTACATGCCATATCTCCGATTAAATATGAAAAAAGTCAATTACATCTCCGAAACAAGTTAATGTAATTTTTTGTTAACGGGAATTAGTGATTATACTATTCAGAATTTTGGTAAATGTCTAAATCCATTAGTCTCTGAAAAAAACTGAATGACATGAAACAATATTGT